TAGCCCCAGACAGGAAAAGAGAGGATGTTGTGAAGACACAAGGGGAAGATGGAGAAGATGATCATTGGCAGGCTGAGGAGGGAGACTTCCCAAGACATGAGCCCTGCCGACACTTGATCCCAAATGCCTCCTTCAGAGTTACGAGAAGAAGAACCAATCTGCTGATAAAGCCAGCCAGCTAGTGGTACTTTGCTATAGCAGCCCTAACAAACTCATACTGTATCTCAGCCATGGAAAGGGGTACCAAAGAATAGAAAGAATAAGAAGGTAGGCAGTTAAGGGAGTAGAGCAAGAATCAGTTTGATGTTGGAGATGCGTGGCAATCTCCTGACATCGATTCATGTCATAGACTTTAAACCATCCCTGTCTGTTCTGCTAGGGGCTACAATTCTTCTTCCTGGATCCAGCCATAAACTCAGCTAGGCAGTTTTCTCCCTTCATTATCCTCATTCCTACAGTACACAGTCTTCTCTGTTGAGTTCGGCATTACCATCTCTACTACAATATCCACTCAACCCCATTAAGTCTTCCCAAGTGTGATCAACTGTGAGCTTATCACTAGCTCCTCCCTGTTTTTCCCAGTCTTTGATACTAGAGTAATTTAACTGTTTTTTTTTTATATCGCTTGAATTAGGTATGAAAAGATAACTTATTTGAACTTTTAGTCAACTTCAGAAGGTTATCTATTATTTTAATAATTTTGGGGGGGCTCTATTCTAACTGATAACTCATCAGAAAGCACAGAAGGTTTGCATCCAGTTCCCTCTCCCTGTACCCTCCCCCTTCCCAGCAAATGTGGAGAATGAGAACATGCAGTGAGCCTCAGAAATCAATTCTTAAATGAATCTGTGCAAGTTTTAACTAAAGACAGGCAAAGGTTCTCCATCAGTTGTGATTATCATATTCCATTATGTGAAGTGAGGACAGAAAAATAGTGAGATAGACATTTCAGTGATTTCAAAATAGAAAAAAATAAACAAAAGAATTTTTTCTTTTTTATTAGAAAGAAAATTATGTTACATGTCAATCCCAAGTCCCTCTCCCTCCCCTTCTCCCCTGGCCACCCAACTAACACCCTACCCATCCCATACCCTTTCTGCTCCCAAGAAAGGGTGAGGCCTTCCATAGGGGGTGTCTTCAAAGTCTGTCATATTCTTTGGGATAGGGTCTAGGCCAACCACCTTGTGTCTAGGCTCAGGGAGTATAGGACTGATGTGCAAAGGGGTCCATACCAGGCTGGTGAAACTCACAGAAACAGCTGACATGAACAAGGGAAAACTCTTGGTCCCCAGACGAATAGCTGGGAAACAAAGAATTTAAGTTTGTCAGATTAATTGTGTTTTAGTTTGTATTTGAAAAATAATGTCAAGGCTCTTTTTTCAATGTATTAATAACAAAATAATCAATTCACTAAAAATACGGGTAAGTTGTGGTCTCATGGAAACTAAGGCAAGAAATCTGAAAAGCTGAATAGAAGCCCATTTTAATAAGGAAGTTGGCATTTGATGATATGAAGGGAAATGAACTAGAGGTTCGGGAGGTGAATGGAAAATAGTTAAGATATGTAAGGGACCTGGCATTCATTGGAAGAGCACATAAGAGAGAACTACACCTTTTTCCACACTTTAATGAACAATACCAGTTAAATATGAAGTTTATGCAGCAGTCCTCCTGTCCTCATTCCATCCATCACACTTGTCTCTGATAAAGACGGCTGACTCTTCTCCCTCCAGGAATGCGCACTCTGTCTTAGCCTCTCCGGGCTGATGGCCCAAATATGCTGCCTTCCAGCTATGCAGTCTCACTAACCCCATCTTTTTCTGCAGTTTCACAGATGGTTTTCTATTTTTCCTATTTCAGAAAAACAAATGAACTTCTGGTTTTTCCAGCAGTGATTAAATGTGAGTGCTCACAGTTGGGAAGAGAAAGGACCAGAGGGACATAGACAAGAAGCAAGGCTTTGCATATCCAAGTCTTTCTCCCTGTAGGTGGCTCAGGACTGTTTTATTACAGGATCTGTTAGAGATTTTCTCTGTGGGGTTTATATTCCACTTGTAAATACCTTATCCATATGAGGAAGGAAAGAGATCAGGCTTCATTCCACACTTCATGGAAGGACCTGTGAATGGCAGATGATTCAAAGTTCCCCACATGTACACACCTCAACTCTCACTTGTTCTTTCCAACGGCACCCTGAAAACTTTGCTACCTCCCTCAATACTCTGGAGATGCAGACAGAAAGGTGTTCACAGACGAAGGCAAATGCTTAGTATTTGACAGAATGATGGCTCCATTCAGGCTTTTTTAGCTATTCCTCTATTCGAGGAAGGTGAGAGAAAAATGGGAGTATGACCAAGCATAGTGATTCATAAACTGTAATCCCAGTACTCAGGAGACTTAAGCAGGAGGACTTCCAGTTCCAGGGCAGCCTGGACAACATAGGAAGTTCAAAGCCTGCAGGAGGAAAATGGTGAGACTTCCTCCTACCCTACTTCCCAATGCTCCAATAAGGGGTAAGAAATAAAAGATGTTCAAAAAGTGTATTAATATAAGTCAAAACTGTTGCGATTGTTATCAATGGTGTAAGAAATCTGGACTGCATAATAACTCAGTGACAAATGTATAGGTTTTACAAAATTGAAAAATAAATGGATCCTTTAACCAACATTTTTCTGGCAAAGCCATAGGGTTTTCTTTCAGTGCTTTTAAACTGAGTTAACTTGTCATATGAACATAACGTAAGACTGGCAAAAGGTCTTTGTTGGGTAAAGGCATCTGTGGCCAAGGGAGAACTGACCCCCCACAAGTTATCCTCTGATCTCCATCATGCCCTATAAAAACAAACAAATAAATAATTAAATCCCGTGCTCCACCCACTCCAAACAACATGAAATTGTATATACACATTCTCTGAACAAAAAGATGGCAATTGGTATATTTTCAGTTTCCAAGTTTTCTAAGATCATTGGTTTAATTAGTTTATCAATAAAACACCTATGGTTTTCATAACTGCCATAAAAGTAATGGGAAAATTTGTAGTAAAGAGATAATATTTCCCCACCACAGAGACAAATTGTCAGGATCGTATCATAGACATCACAATATTGATGCCAGCAGGAGAAATCAATTAAAACTAACATAAGAAATCAATGTCTCAATCCACTGGCCAAACATTTCCAGGTAGCAGGCTAAGGTCCTGATGACTTTGTGCTGACTACATTAGCAGCAGTCTACCAGGAAAATGGCTACTGTTCACTGCATGAGTTCTGAATGGAGGCCACTACTGAGATAAGGGGGCTGTCTAAAATCAGCTTTAACTCTTATGGAGTACCCCAGCGTAGCTGACCTCGGTCCAAGCTTACACACTTCAGAAAGGTTTTACCTTGCTATACTTTTATTGAGTGATTTTTGTCATATCTAATAATGATGATAATGATTTAGATCACTAAAAAATTAAAGCAGAATTGATAAGAATGTTACAGATTTAAATTGCTGCATGTGCTGTTTAAGAGCAGTAATGCTTTACTGTATCCCTGGCTCACTTTAAGCATTATACATGCATTTGGTTTTCCTAAGATTTCCTTCTTCAGTATTGGGGATTAAACCCAGGCCTAACACATGCTAATTAAATACCCTACCACATCTCCAGACTGTTAATGTTGCTTGTACAGAGATAGACACCATCATTATCCTTTTGCTGAAAAAGAGAAAAGTGAGCTAAATGAATGTAATATAATAGCATAGGGGTGGGTTATTCAACTAAAAAAACATTCTAAGAAAAACCCTGGAGGAAGAAGTAAAACATATCTAAGTCATTTCTCTCCTTCTCATGTAATGGTAATAACTGATAACCAACAAGATAAGAAACAAAGCAAGTATACATATGTGGAAAACAGGATGTTAAGTTATCATAATGTATACAAAGTAATCATTTTGATAATGTGCATATGGATTCCTGCAGTGAGTTAATGTCTAGTACTCTGAACCCACTGGTGGCTTTGGGATAGTCTTTGCAATCTTCAGGATGCTACCACATCTGAATCCATTCAGGAAGGCTAGTGAACCTCTTCTGTTAGAGGACAGAGAGGAACAATTTTGATTTTGTAACCCGTACAGTTTCTAGAGGGAATAATGACCCCATCATTGTAATTCAAAAGCAGACATAATCAATATGTAAATATGTGGGAAAGTTTGTGTTTCAGTTAAAGTTAATATATAAAAATGTCAAGGTAATTCAGTTAGGTAAATATCCAGGATAAAAAAGAATAAGTATGCAAAAAGAAATGGTCATAAAATATTACTATTGATTTTTCCAGTGACTCAAAAGTAGTCCTTCAAGGAAATACTGATTTCTGAAAGAGCCACTGGAAAAAATTCAAGGTCTTTCAAGTTTACTACTTTGTGAAAGCAAATGCTTGTTTAATGGCTGTGTTCTACATAATCTATATGTAAGGACTTCAACTTGAAACTTTATCTATAATTTAGAATAGTTTGTCTTTATTATGTATGCATTTTAAGTGCAATTTTGTCACCACTTATCTTAACATGCTTATTACTTTTTTACAAGGAAACACTGAACTATTTGTATTTGTTGTATTTTGAGAACCTCAATATGACACAGTGGAGTTTAGCAATAGTCTAATGTTCCCAGTGAGACTTGGGTTTCCTATTAGCATAACAGCATTAGCAAGAATAGAGTGAATATTTAGAGAATCCTCTTTGCTGCCCCTAACAGAATGTTTCTTTCTGGTTTCAGTTGCTACACTGTAAATGCTTCCAGGTGGATTAGTCGGTAATGGTGTGAACAGATCTTTGTGGGGGGATTGTCCCCTTAGACTGACTCAGCTATCTGCAAGAAAGGTGGCTGCAAATGTTTTTCTCAAGGGCACAAATAAATTTCTGTTGCTCCAATGATGCAAGAAAGGCCAGATTCATCTCCTCCATGCACTGCCTGTATGTTCACCGGAAAGGTAAATCACACTTCCTGCTTTGTTTTCCAGGTACAGAAATGGCTGGAAATCCATCAGTTAGAATCAGCCTTCCTACTCCAAACACTGAACTGTGCCCTGCTCTACGTTTTGGTGATTTAGGTCCTCCACCTCCATACGAAGAAACTCTGAAAACAAGCTGATTGTAGCCAGAATCAATAGAGGAATGTATTAGAAATATTGTAAATACAGACAACTAATTTTAGGCACAATTCTTTGGCTTAGCAGAAATTCTTCGAGACCTATTAGAGAGCCTGAATGAGTACAAGCAAACAAGAGTGGATGGAAGGAAAAATATTTGGCCACAGTGATGCTTGATAGTGAATTAGTAAACCCAATAGCAATGCCTCATTACACTTTTAGATTAGATAACGTTAGAATTTTAGTTTGTAAGGAGGCAGAAAGCAGTCATTTGCATTTATTTAGCCTCCCACTGCCTTTCACAGCATCTCCATCTTCATCTATCCTCTAACAGAGAGTCTGTGAAATTAAACAAATAGTTTAGCAATGGCTCAAGCACAGGTTCAAGTGACTTAGATGGAGAATATTGGAGTCAAAGCTGAAATGAGAGAGTGGGAAGAAAGTCCTGAATTTGGAATTGACAGAGGAATACAAATGGAAAGGAAGGGCAAAGATGACAAGTCTCAATACAAGAACTCTGGGTCCCCAGCTGGAGAAGAGAGAGCGTGCACCTAGAAGCAGAAGATTGCCTAAGACGTAAACTGTGGGTAATGATTGGGGAGAGAAAAGGGAATGGTTTCATTGTCCTCGGGGAATGTGAACTCCAGAACCCAGGCTCTTCAAGACCCTCAGGATTTGCATTTATTGAAGCAAAATAGGAAGAAACTTTACTATAGGTGCCTTTTTCTTCTTGAAGGCTCTGGCAGGAGAAGTAGCAACTTGAGATTTCTAAGCATCATTTGGCAGGGGCAAAAAAAAGGGGGGGGAATCCATGCCATATTGTACCCTGGCTTGACACAGATAGTGAATTTGTTTCATTAAATAATTGACATACCCACTTGATTGTCAATTTAACTTGACTAAACCTAACTCCAGTCTTTTCTCAAAATTGCTTTGTGAAAGTGTTTCCAACCTTTCGCTAACTCAGTCAAGGACTTGTACCTTCTGCTTGTATTACTTCCTATAACTATGTTGTCTGAAAATCTTGACCTTCATTTCAGATTTCCCATACACCAAAGCTTTCCTACCTAGCCCATCTCTGGTATGAACCACCACTATCATCCTTGCTGGAGTCCTATAATAGATCTAAACTCCCCTGCCTTTGTTCTCAGAAATCCTGTTGACAACACAGCAGCCAGGAAACTCTTTCAAAGTTTTAGAACAGTTTCAGATTTTCATAAATGCTGAGGAGAAGGTGGAGACATTTCCCACACTCCCTGTACTCACAGTATTATATCCTTCATCTGATGGGGCTGCACTGACGCACCATCATCACTCAGTGTTGCATTGTACATTCTATGTGTTTGACGGATTTGTTATGATATCCAGCACCACCACTGGACTATCGCGTGGGAACCAAGATTCACTAGACAAGTTTATTCGGAGAGATTACACTTATACAAGAGGCGGGTGGCTGCCACAGGTTCCAGTTCCAATGATCCTCCCAGGCTGTTCCCTGTGACCTGGCCAGCAGCAAGAGAGAGCTCTGGGGTCTTTGAACCCTGATCTAGTCCTACATGCTCATGTAGGTACCTGTGACCATGCCCAAACGGGCGTGGTCATCGCCACAGGTACTTAGGAAGATCTCTCATTACACTGGACTGCTTCGCTGTCTGAGAATCCCTGTGCTCTACTCATCCAAGTTCCTTCCTTCATTCGAACTCTGGTGATCTTTTTTATTGTCTCCCCTGTTTTACCTTCTCCAGCAGAACGTTTATTTTATTTTTTATTTTAAATATTTTTTTATTTTAGAAGCACTCTTACTTACATATCAATCCCCCATTCTCTCCCCTCCCCATCCTCCAATGCTCCCCATGGAACCCCCAACCCACTTCCCCAACCAATCACCAGGGATAGTGAGGCCCTCCATGGGGACCATCAAAGACCATCACATCATTTGGGGGAGGGCCCAGGCCCTCCTTCCCATATCTGGGCTGCAATAGTATCCCTCCATAGGGAATGGGCTCCCAAAGTCCATTTGTGCTCTAGGGATAAACACTGGCTCCACTGTTAGAGGTCCCATAGACTGCCCAGGCCTCCTAGCTGGTACCCACATTCAGAGGGCTTGGTTCGGTACAATGCTGGTTCCCTGGCTTTGTGACTAGGGTCTCTGTGCTCTCACTAGACAGGTCAACTGTTTCTGCAGGGTTTTCCTGCACGGTCTTGGATCCTTTGCTCATCCCTCCTCCCTCTCTGCAACTGGATTCCAGGAGTATGGCTCAATGTTTAGCTGTGGATACCTGTTTAGAGCATTTATTTAAAATCATACAGATGTAGCTTTTTTTTTTTTTTTGTCTTGCTTCTTGAGTATTTAAGGTGTGTATAAGTTTCTTCTGTGTGTTTCCGGTTTCTTCTGTGTCTTTCATCGATAGCGCATTTCTTTTCGTTACTGTATAGTATGCTACTATCTAGAAGTGCCACTGTTTAATCGTGCATTAACGGACTTCGTATCGTGCCTTAATGGAGAGTTGTCTTTTACAATGTTAGCAATCTGATACTCTCCTGATGCTGCAACTTAAAAGTCCTTGGCACATAAGATCTGACCCCATCTTGTTTTCCCTTTCTTAGGATGTTCTGAATGCTACCATGTGTTAACCTAGTCCTTTGTGCCTTTACCCTAACTCTACTGCTCATTTTTCTTGCCTTCGCCATCCCCACATGTTAAAATCGCCGCAACCTTTTACTTTCTTTTGTCTTTTCAAAAATTCCAACCTCCCAATAGGGCCATTTTAATTATCCTACTTTAATTGAAATTGCAGCCACTCCCTCCTTTGGAAAACCCCATCCCCTTACTCCTGATACACTTTATTTTTCTATAGCATTGACATTAGACTGCATATCAGTGGATAGGCATGTGTCTTTTCACTCTCCATTTTTATTTAAATTAGAAACAAGATTATTTTACAAGTCAATCCCAGTTCTCTCTGCCTCACCTCCTTTTCTATCCCCCCCATCTAACTAACTAACACCCTACCTATCCCATACCCTTTCTGCTCGCCAGGGAGGGTGAGGCCTTCCATAGGGGGGTCTTCAAAGTCTGTCATATCCTTTGGGACAGGGCCTAGGACCTCCCCCGTGTGTCTAGGCTCAGGAAGTATCTTTCTATGTGGAATGGGCTCCCAAAGTCTATTCCTATGCTAGGGATAAGTACTGATCCACTACAAAAGGTCCCATAGATTTCCGAGGTCTCCTCACTGACAACCACATTCATGAAGTCTGGATTAGTCCCATGCTGGCTACCCAGCTATCAATCTGGGAAACAAGAGTTCCCCCTTGTTTTGTTTCTGTGGGTGTCACCAGCATAGTCTTGAACCCCTTTGCTCATCACTCCTCCTTCTCTGTAACTGGATTCCAGTTCAGTTCAGTGATTAGCTGTGGTTTCTGCTACCACTTCCACCAGCTGCAGGGTGAAGGCTATAGGATGGCATATAAGTCATCAATTTCATTATCAGGGGAGGGCATTTAAGGTAGTCTCTCCTCTGTTGCTTAGATTGTTAGTTGGTGTCATCCTTGTAGATCTCCAGACATTTCCCTAGTGCCTGATTTCTCTTTAAACCTATAATGGCTCCTGTATTGTGATATCTCTTATCGTTCTCTCCTTTATTCTTCCCCCAACTCAAACTTCCTGCTCCCTCATGTCCTCCTCACCCCTCCTCTTCTCCCCTTCTCATTCTTATAGCTGTTTCTCCTCTCCCCTCAGACTCCCCATTTGCTCAGGAGAACTTGTCCCTTTCCCCTTCTCCGGGGGACCATGTATGTCTCTCTTAGAGTCCTCCTTGTTTCCTGGCTTCTCTGGAAGTATGAATTGTGGGCTGGTAATCCTTTGCTCTATGTCTAAAATCCATATATGAGTGAGTTCATACCATGTTTGTCTTTTTGTGACTGAGTTACCTCGCTCAGAATGGTTTCTTATAGTTCCATCCATTTGCCTTCAAATTTCAAGATTCCATCCATTCTTCAGTTGAGGGGCATCTAGGTTGTTTCCAGGTTCTGGCTACTACAAATAATGCTGCTATGAACACAGTTGAACAGATGTCCTTGTTGTAGGAATGTGCTTCTTTTGGGTATATACCTAAGAGTGAAATTGCTTGATCTTGGGGTAAACGGATTCCCATTTTCCCGAGGAATCGCCATACTGATTTCCAAAATAGCTGTAAGAGAACAGCAGTGGAGGAGTGTTCCTCTTTCTCCACATCCTCTCCAGTACAAACTATCATTTGACAGGTGTAAAATGGTATCTCAGAGTTGTTTTGATTTTCATTCCTCTGCTGACTAAGGATGTTGAACACTTTCTTACATGTCTTTCAGCCATTTTAGATTCCTCTACAGAGAATTATCTATTTAGTTCTGTTCCCCACTTTTTCATTGGATTATTTGATGTTTCTGAAAGCTCTAGAACACAAAGAAGCCAATGCAGCCCAGAGGAGTAGATGCCAGGAAATAATCAAATTGAGGGCTGAAATCAATAATGTATAAACTAGGAAAATAATACAAAGAATTAATATAATGAAGAGATGGTTCTTTGAGAAAATCAACACGATAGACAAACCTTTATCCAAACTTACTAAACAGCAAAGAGTGAACATGCAAATTAATAAAATCAGAAATGAAAAGGGGGACATAACAACATACACTGAGGAAATCCAGAAAATCATCAGATCATACTTTGAAAACCTGTATTCTTCAAAATTTGAAAATCTAAAGGAAATGGACAATTTTCTGATAAGATTTCACTTATCAAAATTAAATCAAGAACAGATAAGCAATTTAGATAGACCAATAACACCTAATGAAATAGAAGTAGTCATCAAAAGTCTCCCAACCAAAAAAAAAAGCCCAGGGCCAGATGGTTTCAGTTCAGAACTCTACCAGAAATTCAAGGAATAGCTAATACCAATTCTCCTCAAAGTATTCCACACAATAGAAGCAGAAGGGTCATTGCCAAACTCTTTTTATGAGGCTTCAATAACATTGGTACCCAAGCCACACAAAGATACAACTAAGAACTCGAACTACAGACTAAATCCCTCATAAACATTGATTCAAAAGTACTCAATAAAATACTGGCAAATTGAATCCAAGAACACATCAGAAAAATCATCCACCATGAGCAAGTAGGCTTTATCCCTGGGATGCAAGGATGGTTCAACATACAAAAAT